ACTAAAACTAGAATATCAGTTCGGTTTTGGTCATGGAACACGTACGAATGCAATTGCCACTCAGCTTCACTTGCAGTTCATTATATGTCTTAAAGACTTGAACTATAGCATGTAAATTTGAGAATGTATTCTTTAATAAGAACAGATCGAAAATTTTAGTTTATATGGACATAAATCAATCTACATTCTACAAGATTTCTGTATTTGCATTGTTTCATTTCTGTATTCTCAAAATTAGAAATTGTGTTGTTCATTATCATTTCTAATTCTCAAAATGAGGCTGCACAATATATTGTCTCGCAATTAGAATAATAATCCATCAACTTTTGAGAGGTACCAAATTATGCATATTCCAACAAGTCCACAACCATCTAATAAACCTTTAGTCAATTAAATACCATCAAATAATTGATACTTCATAGTCCATATTACCACAAACACCCGAAATAACACTACAAAAACGTACCACCATAACCATATGAGATACCACCGCAACTATCTTTATCTAAATGACAACGTATTGTTTGACAACTCTCATGGATATAATACAAGTCTGTAAACACCTTTCTATATGCCACTCAAAAGAGCCTAAATATGGCTAATTAGTACATCCACTATAGTAAAATTCCCTCTCAAGTCTTCCACTAACTTTCTATACAAAAATTTCTTCTCATTTTTATGTGGTTAATGGAGTTTGTTTGGTATCTGATCACTTGATTAGATTCCACTGACAACTTAATTATACATAATCAGAAAATCAGCATTACTCTTCAATTATTTTTTTTTTATTTTTAATTTCCTTTAATTTACGTACACTTTTGATTAAACATGCAGTACATAGAGCATTAAGCCAAGTGGAGCAGCAACCTATCAAATTTAATGTTAATTTGGGATAATGGAGATCAAATGCTGCCCCCATTTATCCTTTTAATGGAAACTTATTACTATTATTCGGATAATGCAAAACAAACATCAGCCTTAGTAAGGACTACTAACATTCTTTTAAGCATAAGTTTTTTTGCCATGCTGTCTTAATAGGCAATCAAGAGTGGAGGATTAGCAGAGCCATTATGCTTAATATCTACAAGATTGGCTTTTCTGATACGTTTTTCTTTATATATGATACTTGTTGTACTCGTTGGTTATTAAAAATTATTCCTGCCCTACCAGATTACGTCATTATTTTGACTTTTTACATTGTTTACACACCAACTTTGACCATTTTTTGCTAACAAATGAAGATATTGGGTTTTTCTTAATGTAACATACTCAAAATATTAACTTCTATAACTTTTTTACTAATACGTAGTTAAGCTATTGATGGTCAAACTTTTACAATAGCAAGCATGTCCAATCAAAGTGAAACAAGTAATTTGGAATGGGAGAGAAACTGTTGATTAAGAGGATCCAATAAGTGAATTAGCCATAACAAGTTGATGCTTAGCTTTATCACCTACTTGTTCCATTTACCAATCAGTAAGCTAATAAGTAAGCTTTATCACCTACTCGATTGAGTAAACATACATTTACTTTTCTCAATAATGGCAGTCACGTATGCTACAATCTTAACTTGTAAGGCTACTAAGGTACACAAATGGTGACAAATTCACACGAGCAGAGGGGTTTACTTCCGGATGGAAACTAAACCCAACAAGGCCAACACACCCCTATGTATGTCGTCGGGAATATATACGAAAATAGCTTGTGATATTGGATCTTTTGGCTTATCTATGAGATAAAATTATTATAGTATCTCTTAGGGGAGTGAACCCTCTACACCTTAAGCTCAATAATAAGCATTTAGTCTAAGTTTATGTTTAGTTCACCTTATTTTACTTATTTGATCTAATCTAAACTTTTTATATGATTTGTTTTGTTAGACCCTACATGTACACTAATTCATAATGAAAAAACGTATCAATTGATAGATTTGTACTAATGTGTATTTTTTAAAAAAGATTTGTGTAAAAGGATCTTTTAAGTGGTCCATTTTGTTTAAAAGGACCTTTTTAAGTGAAAAGTTGTGAAAAAGAACCTTTTAAGTTGTATTATGTTGCGAGGGGGTACTATTCTAGGTTTTTCGGAACTCCGCCGTTGACTCTCACGTGGGGGTCACGTGACATAAAAAAAAAACCCACATGTTTTTTTTTTCCCCTTTTCCCCCAAATTTCCCTCCTTTTCAAACTACCCCTTTCATTTTTTCCCTCTTTCATACATCCTAAAAAACGTGTGGGCTTTTTTTTTTAAAGTCACGCGTGACTCCCACGTGAGAGTCAATGCCGGAGCTTTACCGTTGACCACCCGGAAAATTCAGCCCCTATTACCCCCTCACAACATAATACAACTTAAAAGGTCTTTTTTCACAACTTTTCACTTAAAAGGTCCTTTTAAACAAAATCGACCATTTAAAAGGTCCTTTTACACAAATTTTCCATATTTTAAATATGTAATTTTCATAAGTTTTTTCATTCCGGATTTAAAGATAATTTACGATAAAAAATTGCAAATAAAAATGATAAAGTCTGACATAAACTTATATTTTCTGATCTAAAATAAGTAATAAGAAGCCAAAAGTAAACATCACATGATCTTTGTTAAAAATTTCTAAACTTAATGTTTTACAGTATGACTATATTAGCACCCCTAATGTAGAAGATGAGGTGACAGGGCAGGTTTTACCAAATTACCAAGATGATTAAAGTCTTAAAGATGTTGTGTAAGCAATTACGCATCCATGGTATTTCCAGGGCGCTGCATGCAATCTGTTCTTATAATGACTGAATTTCTCCAATAGGTATCATTTTAATCAAGCACTGATCTGATGTGGCCCTTTTATGTGATGGTTTCGTGGGATGAAGTGCTGTTGTGATAAGCTGTTTATGAGAATCTTTCATATAAAGTTTGGGATGCAAACCCTTGAATTAGAAGAATTACAAGTTTACAACTTACAGAAAACAGCCTTATTTTGCGACCACCGGTACGCCAGTCATATACTTCATATGTTATTGCTAGAAACCAGAATAATACTGCAGCCACCTTACAGTAGACTACTAGACTGCGGTTATTATTTGTATTGTAGTTGAGGTCCTTGAGGGTATCACTGTGTTGATTAGTTATTTTTCTAACTTGGGTTGTTTGTAATGTTACACGATTGAGAAAACCCGTAGTTTATCTCATGTTGAGCATTGTTTCAGGATGAATACATTTTCGTAGACGTACAATTTTAGTTTCCTTGGGGATTTTTAGCTAAGTTTGACTTGATTTGCCAGATGAATAAAACTCTTCCCTTCCCCGTTTTACACCTAAAAAACTACATATGATTAAAGATGGCATGGATTAATTAACACTAAAACCCAAATATGGAATACAAGAATAAGGGCAAAAACGAATCCTCAATATCCCAAGCGATAACAGTTAGCAAACTCCCAACTAGCTAAGGTGGGGTTCAAGTTGCTTCTCATATGCACTCCTTACATTCAAAGACTGAGGACCGCACCTTTTATGCTGGGATTGTGGCACAGTAATACACTAGACCTAGGCCCACGAAAATACCCAATTCCTTCCCTTTTTGGTAGTGGGGGCATAGCAATAAGCATTTAGAAATGTGATCAAAGCTAACAGAAGTCTCTTATCACACTTCCAATTCAGTCTAGATAGACTTGGCAAAACTAAGTCGTATCCGAGAATACAATCCAAACAAACTCAAAAAATATTCAATATTAAGCGGAATTATAGAAAAGATTCAAAATTGGATCAAACGAGTCATCATCCTAATATGATCCAAAACATAATCAACTCGAACTGAACATGTTCTGGATGATCCATTTGTAAGGTGTCATTCTAGAGAGGCAATGTTAAAACCAAGAGCAAGAAGTAAAATAGTATACTACTCCTGTAAGCCTGCCCAAAATTTTTGATGAATTGACCTCTCAAGCTAAGGAATGTCTGCATTTTTTTAAGATGGACCTATTCCCTTCTGCTCCCAAACTGGATTACTTTGATTAACAATCCTAATTGGCAGAGCAAAATTGTAATTGTGAGCCTTTTAGAATATTTAGACAACATTATCCAGGAAGCCTAGAATGTCCACAAGATAAACAGTTATATAGTTTGGTTTATCAGAAACAATATTTCTACTATATGAGATGGATGGGTGAGCACAATTCGCTGCATAGTTTTGTTTAACTAGTTCACAAGATCCGACGAGCAGTTCAGGAAGTCTATACATTTTTAGGTAGCTTATGGTAGATACAGCAGTGTTTTCGAAACACCCTGAAAAATTGAAGGATATTTTGAGGAAAACTTGAGGATGGGATTAACCTTACCCCCCTGGAAACACAGGGTACCACATTCCAACTTGCAACTCCCAAAATGTGATTAGCAGGAGACGAGAATTTGGCAAAACACTAAGATACTTGATTGAATGCTTGAATTTGTAATTTTGATGGTGATTTATTATTGAAGGGAGATTTTTATGAGCTTCCAACATCATTATAACAAAGTACAGCCCAAAAATTGACCACACTGTCTTGGTTTTCCATAGTGACCCACTTACATCAGTACTACTCAGCATCAGATATTATGCTAATATCCATTTAGCTGCTACGCCCACTCTCAGTCACACTTCTAGAAAAGTAAGGATAGTGTTTATGGCAAAGTCTTCAATGGTCGCTATGATGAAGAAGTAAATATGCGATTTTCAGCTTCGCATGGACATTCTTAGTTTATTACTATGCCCCGGGCATTTGGATTTTTGAAGGATCGACTTTCTTTGGATAGTTGTGGCGTACAGGGTTGCAATATTGGTTTTCACTTGATATTGGAAAGGAATTGAGACTTGAGAGTTATGATAGATCACAGCAATTAGATCTTTTTCATCCTATTGCAAAAAATATATAAGGCAGAACCCCGGAGTTTGACATTCAAAGTTTGGTTTGTTTTATTTATTATTTATTTATTTTAATTTTTCCTATCTAAGAGCATTGCTAAGAACAGCATTACATCAAGAGAGACAAATACATCATGTAATATCACATTCTTCAGAAATTACACAATTTTATTCCCTGAACAGGATACTGATCCCTAACAATATAGACAGCACCACTCTACTTGTGTGAGAGATGATACTTTCAACAAGAGTCTAATGTAATACTGTTTATGGAACATGAGCGAAATCAACAGACCAAAACCAAAAACCAGATAATCACACAGACAAATTTCTATTTAACACTTAATAGGAGGAATATCATGGGACATGCCTTGATGAGGGAGTGCTCATTGCCCAATCACACGTTTGGCACCATCTAGAGTATTTCTCAATAGCATGGCTACAGTCATGGGTCCAACACCTCCAGGGACAGGAGTAATCCATCCTGCTACTTTACTAACTTCATGGAAATCAACATCCCCCACAAGACGGTAACCTGACTTTTTACTTGGATCATCCACTGCATTTGTCCCCACGTCGATGACAGCAGCACCAGGCTTGATCCAGTCACCTTTAATCTGAAATAAGAGGAAGATTAATAAATCAAATAAATAATTAAAAAAAAAAATACAGAAATAGAAACAAGGTAGCTTAAACTTCTTCAGGGGAAGATTTGCACATGATAACTAGTGGGAACTGGGCAGAAAACAAAGCTCTAATGAAGGGTAAAGGCAGAAACTATTGCTCTCATATAGTTTCACTAGATTGCAGCTAGCATAAAGATAAAAATTATCACTGAATTTGTTAGGAAAGTATCGCCAATGACAAGTGAAAAATCTAGGAATAATAAACTCCAGCATTCTGACTGAAAATGTTCTTGCAAGATTCAGGGCAGGCAAATCATTGTCTGAATTACTCTTCATTACAAAAGTAGCCCCTATAATATTCTCGTATGATATAAGTGGTGTGTTGAATATATTTGCACGGTGGAAAACCAATAAGCTTGAGGCCTCTTCCAGTTGTTAGGGAGTTTGTTTGCTGGGCAAAAAGGCAGAAAACTCTGGGACTACAGACTGATCAGCCACGGCCCATGGGTAAGTATGTTTGGAATGGATGTTTTAAAATGGAACGTGACAGGCATGGCCCATGGATAATTATGTTCGGTACATGGCCCAAAGATATGGATCAGTCGCATTTAATTTCAGGGGTCATATTAGTGGAGTTAGCAAACTCCACGCATGCTAGCTAGAGCTGAATATAAATAGTTGTGGCTGGGGATTCTTTTCATGTGGTATACTGGTATCAAGGAAAATAAGAAATAATTAGTTGGATTAACCGGCTAGAGAAAAGAGGCTATTCAAGTGCATAGAAAAATATGTTGGCATGCTGGGAAGTGGGAAGTGATACAGGGTTAATATTCCAAAGCGTAGTTTTTCTTGGTGCTGGCTAACTATGCTGGACAGGTTAAAGCTGCAGAAAGGTCTATGATTTAGATTTCTTGTACTTTGTGGAAAACATCGAAACCTTAGATAAACTCCAGTACAATTCTGCTTATAGCAGCTTTGGCTTGGAATTAAGAGCATATGCTATGTTAACTGGAAAAATATGCCCATGGAAGCCTCAAAATTTGGGAGCAGTGGGCTCAAAAAATGAGCATTGCACAGCATATATGGACTCACAGAGATGAAGCTTTATGGAGCAATAATTATGCCTAAGAATGATAACAGATGTGACTAATTGGTCTGAGAACCTATGAATTAGTTAGTTGTGTAGTACGGATTATATCTATTCACTGGGTATCAAAAAGGGCTTAAAGGCCATTCCTAGAAATTAATCTCTCCCCAATGACTTAAGTAAGTTAGGGGTTCCTTTTTATAAGCAATAAAACTTCTTTCCTTTCTTCACGCAAATAAAAGGAAAGAAAAATGAAGGGAAAAAAGTAGCAAGTCTGAGACTACTGGTCACAATTATCAAAGAAGCAAGCAGCAGAAGGGGAGAAGGGATCTTATATACCATCATGGCTTGTCCTGCTGCAGCAATGACAATGTCAGCTTCACGAATGATGCTTTCAGGATCAGTTGTACGAGAGTGCACAATACTAATGGTCGCATCTGCTTTCAAGAGGAGTAGTGAAACCGGCAATCCAACAATATTACTACGACCTACAACAACTGCCTTCTTGCCTTTTATACTGATGCCGCTTCGAGACAGAAGCTCAAGACAGCCCTGTCAAAAATGAATTTCTGTAAGCCCAAAGATCTGGACAGTGCCCATTTTACAAAAAAAATTAAGTTCAATGTTGAAAGAATCAATTAGAAATTGAAAATCAATCACCTTTGGTGTGCAAGGCTGGAAGAGGGGGTCTCTACCTTTCATTGCAAGTTTTCCAATGTTCAGAGGATGGAAACCATCTACATCCTTCTCGATGCTTATTTCACTTAAAACATTTTCTTCATTTATATGTTTGGGCAATGGAAGCTGAACAAGTATACCTGAAAAGCGCCAATAAGAAAAGAAGTAAACTAGTGAGCAACAAGAATAATGAAGAATAAAATTCAATATGCACGAAAACTGTATCAAGTTTGCTGACAAATATAACGAACCATGTACTTCAGGATTTGCATTTAACTCATGAACCTTGGCGATCAATTCAGGCTCTGAAACTTGCTCAGGAAGGTCTATGTCGAAGGACTTGATCCCCACCTCAGCACATGCTTTCCTTTTCATATTCACATAGCTTTGAGAATCCTTCCTGTTGCCCACGATGACTACTGCCAGTCCAGGGACCTGTACAAATTAAGCATGCATGACATAATTTCAATCCACAATAAAGGGGTGAACAAACATACTTCGTAAACTCAAAAAAAAAGAAAAAAAAATTAGAACAAGCATTCTTTAGGTGGGGAAGAAGCAAATGGAGAAAGCTGCAATATAAGTTCGGAGTAAATAACAACTGAAAACAATAGAATTATGCAAGTAAAACTTATAACCATTTCAGCTACAACAAATTTATAAGTAAACAACATAGCAAGATCAGGATCTGCCCATCTTTCCTATGTGCGCTAACACTTGTACTATTACTCCAGAGAACAATTTAGTAGCTGAATATTTTTTAATGGTGACGGTAACGAAAAGAAAATCCGAGATAAGGAACCAAAAAATCTGTAGACGCTTTACAAATTTAAGTTAATCCCTACATCAGCAATTTTTACACGGTGTGGCTCTGGCTATTTCTCTCCAGCGTTGAACTACACAATAATTACACATTGTGTATTTTATAGGAAATCTCCATTCCAACTGTCAACTGCAAGGCCCAAAATAAATTTTTTATCATATTGTTTTGGGTTCAGTAATTTCTCCTTCTACTGCTAGAGGAAGCAAGACAAACTCAACAACAGTAATTCAAATCCTAAGAGCAAGGCAATAAACGATTTAACAGTTTTGTTGTTACAACACCATAGATACTAGACATACTACGCGGAATATCATGTGTAAAAGTATGATAAAGCATCTCCACAACCAACTAAGAGTCTTTCTCTATTGATTCTTGCCACCACTTACTACTACCTACTATGCATTGCCACAAACATTTACAAAGAACAACCCTCTTAAAATCACCCACAACTCAATATCATTTCCTTAATCTATGCCATTCATACAAAAATGGGCCACCCCCCACACACCCTACAAGTGTATACAGCACAAGTATCACCCAACTTATCATTAATATTCATAGTATGCCTCAAGATTGCAGCAACTCTCTCGGTCCTAAAACCCAGGATTCGTAGTAATTCTAATACAAGTATAAATTTTGACAGTACCCTCTGACTGGTGCATAAAAACTGTGACCACACAAGAGTGCAGAAATCAATTATTCGTACAAAATCAATTCCCCTGTAATACAATACCCCATCTACCTCAGAAATTGTTGTTAAAACAATTGCAAATCAAATCGAAAAAATCCCAACACCCCGGTAATTTGGGAACTTCCACTTCACTCCCTAGTATCTAGTGCCTTACATGCTTACTGTTAATCATTTCTGCATTGATCATCTACTTACAGTATTGAAATGCTAGTAAGATTCACAAATTACAGTATAAACAACATATCATTATCAAATTAAGCAACCCTAAACTAGTATTCTATGATAGTGCATTTTCATAATCCATTTGTCATTCCATTGGCTTTTGTAGCTACTCAATTATATGAGTCTGAACTATAGAAATTTCAACACTTACAAAATTAGGTCAATACCAAATTTCCACCATATATCAAACTGTTAAATTACCTGAATTTCTATTTAATCCAACAATTTACTTTATTAGCATACTCATAATTTAACTTTTTTTGCAATACTCATAAAATAGCAACCAAAATGATGAATTCATATAAACAGATTACTCAGCATTAATACAGAATTGAAATCAATTGGAGAAAAATGTGGAAAATTGAACAACAAATTAAGCAGAAATAATAATTAATCCTAAAAAAATATGAAAACGAAGATACCTTAGCGTGATTTTGAGAGAGAAGACGGACTTCATCGGCGATTTCAGATCGAATAGTCTGAGCAATGGCTTTTCCGTCGATAATTTTTGCAGACATTTTGATTGAATCTATCTGAATATGCGGTTGATTCTTCAGGAGTGATGCACATAGGCGTTGTGTTGGATATAATTTGTCAGTTTGTCTTCGATTTGCAAGAGGGCTTTTAGCAAGGGTAAAATTGTCATTTCGCGCAACTCGTGGGCAGGCAGCAAGATAAGGGAGAAAATCAACCCGTCTAAGTACGTTTACTTGTTCAAGACCGGGCCAGTTTTCTACGGTCTGATCTGGTCTGGTGTATTTCAAATACGGAGCAATTTTGTTCAAAGCAATACTCGTATAATAGAATGACTTGTTTGATTATAAATTTATGTTGATCATGCCTTGAAATCAAGCAAGGGAGCCATTTGATTCCAAATACGGAGTCTTTTGATCAAACTATGTAAATCCTTGTGTCTTATAGTTCTCATTTTTTAATTAACTTTATTATTGAATATTGTTTGGTGCTTTATATATTAGTGATATATGATATGATATGACAAATCACTCTCTTGTTAAGGTTGAATTTGTATCTCATTATATTGTATATATTATTGGACAAAACACTCTTAGATATTTATTTGGAAAACACTTATTAAATCAGAATCTTGAACAATGTTTTTGAACATAATTACTACTCCGTACTTAAAAGGATAAGTTAGAGCATCATATTCGATCATAAATTCATAATGGACTAATGGTTAAATTGATGGATACATTTCTCCATTATATCTTGGACTATAGTTGATAAGTACCGAAAAAAAAAAAAAAAAAAAAAAAAAAAAAAAAAAAAAAACATTGTGTGGGGATGTGGCTCCACCTTATCCTATATTCCTATTGAAAGTGCTCAAACTTCCCATCACCAACCCACCAGATGAAAATAGATCCAACAAGATAAGAGAAATAGGGACATAAGAGTGACTATAGTAGAGGAAGTGATGAGCTTTTCCTTATACCATCGCAAACTATTTATAATCATTGTATTTCTAATCTTATTTTTAATTCAAGTAAAAACAAAATAATTAAGTTAAGCTTAAAATAATACTCCTATTCATCATTAACATCTAAGTTAGCCATATGATCGATTTGTTTTTGTTATATATATACGGAGTAATTGTTGTTACAAATTATGATATAATGTTTCTTTAGTTTATAAAACTTTAATCCTTGAAAAATCAATCGAATTTATAGAAATTTCTATTCATAACATAGATCTCTACTCTAGAATGATCGAATTGTTTATGTAAATTGAAAAGTGATGAAAGGTTCCAAAGTATGTAGAAGCTAAGTACAAAGAACAATAAATAAATCATGTACAAAATCATAGCTCAAATCTCATTTTGCATTATTTATCAACAAACTTCACTCGAGTGATAGTTTATGTTCATGTAGTACATACTCAAGCTAAGCAACCAAAAGATATACACATATATAAGTTTCATGGATCGTACATCAGCCGAGTATATACATTCATCTTGATACATAACATCCTCGATCTCGTGCAAACCATGCTACACGAATTTGTACACCGATCTGATCGATTTCAAGAAAAATCATCTCATCATAGCCTGCCAGTAGCATGAGATTACTCAATTCATCTCAAGATCCATACATAGTTGATTCATGAGATAAGATTGTTACCCAAATATATTATGTTTTTAGTTTTAAGGGCCTAATTAAGTGTGACTCCAAGGCCCTAAAAACATAATTACTCGAATTGGATCTTCGTTATTATGTATGTTTAATTTTCGTCTTGCAGATGATGGAGGAGGAACGCGATGTTTATTAATATCTTTATTAGTATCTCTTACCATGGACACCATAGCCGCCTCGTGAACATGCTTGAGCTCTTCTCCGATGACACTCTTCCACTCGTGAACTAAGGAAGCGTCACAAGAGAACTTTGTTGGCTTCATAATATGATGCTTTAGGCAAATAATTTTGTTACCTTAGCGAAAGAGCGATCATATAAGAATTGTAGCTAAGAGTTAGGGTGCCTCTTTATATAGTCATAAAAAAGGTGATCATAGAGGGTTTTTTTTAGTGGAAGAGCGAATATATTGAACTTTAATAAAGTTTTATATAGGAGTATCTTGCTAAAGCCATATCACAATCAACTAATTAAATAGATAAGTAATAAATTATATCTAATCATAGAAGTCATCGAATCATATTGTTAAACACATAGATTCCTATACTTCGTGTTTAGGTTTTATTACAAATTTTTATTCCTTTGTATTTTACGATTAATAATATACGGTAAAATTTAAGTTTATAAGTCGAAAATGACTATAGAGTATGTATGAGTATTTAGAAACAGATAGGCATATTTTAAAAGTAAGAAAGTGATATAGAGACGTGGTATCCAGCTAAGTGAGACCCCACACGTCCTACCTATATATATTACGTATTGAGATAGAGTGGAATTGAGTATGGTTGATTGGTTGTGGGATACACATCATCAGCTGCTTTGATTAAGTAGCTAAACGTTACGCAATTGCTCATGCTTTGTCGATGTCGTTGCTTAATTCGTTCTTAATTATTACCCCATATAAACCTAATGAAAGAATTAATTATATTTAGATCTTGCCTAACAATAAATGACTTCATAAAAAAAGAACATTACATATAAATAAAAGAACATTAAATTTGTCCCAATATTCTTTTATTTATATGTAATGTACTTCCGAGTGTACCATGCACATGGTACACCTCCCTCTACCATACTATTTTTACTTGTCTAAGTCTTTATTACAAGTATTTAATTAGTCATGATCTATAAGATAATGACTAATTCTTTGAATTATAAATCAAATTTTCCCATTTTTCTTTTTTTTGGGCGCTCCTTTTTCATGCTTTATGCAAGCAAGCACACATAAGAAATGCACTATTACTAAGTCACATTTCACCTAATTAATAAAATATATATGACATGATTGACTATACTCTTGTTGTCTATTTATATATGTTGCTGCATTAGCAGATATTTATTCTTACGATTTTGCAATTAATTAACAAAATTGGCTCTTCAAAGCATGAAAAGGCCAATTCAAGAAAGTTACATAGCATCTTTTTACTACTTTATTTATGTAAGTGGCCATCACTGATTCACTCATCACAAGTTCACAACACCATGAGTCTTTATTGTGTCACAATCTCACATAACTCATAAATGATAAACAGATTATATTTTTCATTTTTGTACTCAGGTACAAATATGGATCACATCGCGGTGGACCGATCTCTTATTCTTCTATGTCGACAGATAGTCAATCTCGCTCATTACAGTAGGATCCTTGAAGGTGGATAGAGGATAAGGGAATATCATTTCCAAACTTTGTATCAAGACACAAATTGAAGTGCCTCTAATGATTATATGTGTGTAATAGGGAGTGTATCTTTTATTATTGGTTATATATAACAGAGTAATTGTTATGATGGATTGAAAGTTAATTTTTTAAGATTAGTCATGATATTCTAGTGAATGTCACGCACAAGAATGAAGTCTAGCCATCTATATAATCTCTTAGCTAGGTTACAATTTAGAAATTTGATCCGTGTGTGACTTATAATATCATAAACGTATTTGCAAACTAGCCCAATGTATGTATAATTTTTGTAAAGGTAATGGGTCTTTTAATCTCGAGGGTCAACCCTAACGGAGTAATAGGTCACATATAATACGGAATAATAGGTATTTTGTAAAAAATAAAAATTTAATTAAAAACTAATAAAGCTCAGTTAGACTCCCTAAATGCATGGGCAGGTACGTATTTTGTAATTAAAAAGTGAATTGTGTTTGCTTATTTAATCATACAAGAAACATGCGTATTTCATCTCATCCAATACAATTGTGCATTTTAAATTAAATTTTGGTGTATATGCTAGCATTATTCTTACTTGGTTTGAGCTGAGTTTTAAAAGGTGTTACTTTTTGTAGCTGAGTTTTTATAAATAGCAATATTTTAGAGTTGCTATTTATACAGTATGTTGAATTAATAAATTGAATCAATTGTAGCTTAATGGAACATCAATCAAATCAGTTTATTAGATTATTGTTTTCTAGATCAGCAAAACAGCATCAGATGTTGATTCAAGGCAAAATCAGATTGTATTCCAAATTCGACATGGAGAAAGATTGATTTTTGCTGACAAAATGTAAACTTGAAGATAATAAGCATCTATGCTTATACCTGATACGACCACTTGGCGGCTTATATAAATGTGATATGAGCAGTAAACGAGCGACACGTGTCATTTACTTAGTCTCTATGCCTCTATGCCTCTATGATTCTACAATATGATACATTGATACGACATAAATCATTGAAGTTCAGAAAATCAAAGTTAGTGCATGCATGACAAACATGAACATAAGTTGTTGAAATCAAACGGGCAAAGGTTACACATAAACTTAGTTTACAACTTTATGTGGGTTATACATAAATCAAAGATGTGACAGCCTATTATAGATGTTTGCTTTGAGGGCCCAAAAAAACTATTTTAAAATATTTCATTCAAATTTCAAATGAAATTCCAAACCTAATTTCAAATCTGATATCTATTTTCAAGGCACAATCAATGCACCCAAATTCTCAACCACTCCATCCTCTCATTTTTTTTGGCTGAATTTTTCTTTGGTCTGGTTTTTCTCTCTCCTATCTCTTCTAACATTCTTCATTTCTTCATATTCATTCATGAATTTATTTTATTTTTTTCATATTTTTTTACATAATGTTTTATGAATCAAGATTTAGCAATTATATTATTATAAAGGAGCATCATTTCATTTTTAAAAATAACAATTGATCTAGAGTTAGTATGTGTGTACACTACAAGTTTAATAATTTTTGTGCCTTGGAGTAATTGATTATTTTATATTAAGGAATAAGATCATATTAGTATTACAAACAATAATGGATGAATGGTTTATTGAATATAGTTACTAATCTCCTTTTTACACTATGAGAAAAAGGATAATAAAACGAAAAGTAGGTAGAAATCTCCTTACAAGAATAAACAAAGATTTGAAAGTTTAAGTTTTATTATTAATATATTTTAAAAACATTCTTTAATTTATATATTTATGTTTTTTTTTTTTTTTTTGTGAAAATGATATATTTATTAGTAACTTGTAATTATTTTTTGTATTCCAAATGATATTTTTTTAACCTTCCACTAATAAATTTTTACCCTTCACTACTTCATTTTAGCCCTTCAACTTAAGTCTCGTCATTAGTTTCGTTATTTATTTTTGTTAAAAACTTTTACTTTATTTGTATGTTTTTTAATTTTTCA